CTTGCTTGAGTATGAGAGAGAGTTTCTGACCTGCCAAAAGGTAAGATTCACTGCTCCCTTCCCAAAGGAGCAGGGGGAGAAAGAAAGCAATGATTTTGCTTTTCTGACTTGCAAATATCTTGTAAAGGGAAAATCATAATTCATAGCCCCATATGTACAAAATGTTTCCAACGGGTTTCATTCTGGAAGTATAAGCAATGAATTTTCTGCTAAATGCAGCAAATCCAGTCACTATATTTATAAAACAAAATGCATTAGATTCTGAATATAAAATGTAATCTCTGAGTGCAGCAAATTTCAAATCAGCATTAAAAAATATGTAAAAGCAGCAAAAGAAATGGTCTATAATTACTAATTATTGTACTATTTTGGGTTGTACTATTTTGGATCCCATTTCTCTTCTAGTACATTCTGCTCTGATATCTCCTGTTAAAATTAGGTACAAGGATTGATTGACAAATAATATTCTTAATCACTGTCTCAAAAATCAGAGATTTAGTGTTCTATTGTTCATATTACTAGTGTGGTAGGCTGAGTAATAGCCTCTAAGAAAATCCAGTTCCTATTCTCTAGAACCTGTGGATGTTATCTTACACAGAAAAGAAAATGACTTTGCAGATGTGACTAAGTTAAGGACCTCAAGATGTGGAAATTATTCTGGGTTATCCAGGTGGGACCTAAATGTAATCTCATTTGTCTTTATAAGAGGAAGGCAGAGAGCTATTTGATTACAGAAACAGAAGAGGAGACAGTGATGTGACAAAGACGACAACAGATATGAAAATGTTACACTGCCAGCTTTAAAGAGGGAGGAAGGGACCATGAGCCAAAGAATGCAAGGGATGATACTATAAAAGCTGAAAAAGGGAAAAAATAAGTTATCCTCCAGAACCTAACAAGTAAACCTCTCCCTGAAAACATCTTGAATGCTAATTTTAATCTCTGACCTTCAGAACTTGAGAGAATCAGTATGTGTTGTTATAATCCACTGAGTTGGAGATATTTGTTGCAGCAAGCCATGGGAAGCTAATACAACTGGTTATCAAATTTTCTGGTTTTATATTGCTGGTGGGATACATGGCTTTGCTTGTCTGTTTTTATCTTTATCTTTGAGAGCATTTATACAAAAAAAGTTAGCTTCCTAGACATTTGACTACCTGATGACAAGGTAAAACCTACTTTTACCTAGTTGTCACATGTTTTACAATAAGAGATTTGTTTTAATGTCTGTACTTTATTAAATTATAAGATAGATTAAATTCTGAAGGGCAGGTAAAGATAAAGAAAAAAAGAAGGAGGAAAAGAAGAAGGGGAGACAAGAAATTAACTAATGTTGCTCACTAGCATTTCCATTTCACCCCCTTCAAGGCATAGGACAGCACTTTCCTGCCCCTTAGAGTTAGATGTGGCCATTTGACTAGTCTAGCAGTGGGTTGTGAGTGAAGGAGACGTGCATTATTTCCATATTGGAGCCTTCCAGGGCAATACCCATCAGTACTCAGGTGGTGGAAGTTCCAACAACCTGGATCTGTGAGTGAAGACAACATGAACAGCGCCCTCCCCATCAAAAAATCTGAAGTTAACTTGATTTTAGCCAAAAAGTAAACTTCTGCTGCTTAAATCCACTAAGATATTAGAGTTATTGGTTACCACAGCATAATCTACCCAATACTAACTGTTACGGATGGATGGATGGATGGATGGATGGATGGATGGATGATAAATAGATGACAGATGATAATGATAGATAAATAGATAGATAGATGGGGCTGGGCACAGTGGCTTACGCCTGTAATCCCAGCACTTTGGGAGATAGATAGATGATTGATTGATTGATTGATTGATAGATAGATAGATAGATAGATAGATAGACAGACAGACAGACAGACAGACAGATAGATAGATGGATGAGAGAGAGAGGCCTATAGAGATGAAAAGGATGACTGGAAGATATATCATTTCTGTAGAATGTGTAACAAAGTTTCTTCTACCATATAATAGAGAAAGAGAAGTTATGAAAACTTTGTAGACAGAGTACTCATCTTATTAATATTTGTATTTCTACCACTTAGCACAATGCCTCGTGCTTAGTGAACACTAAGTAATTTAATAAAGTACTTTAGAAAGACAGCAGCATGTGGCCAAAGTTTCTGACAAATGAGCCCCCACTATAAACCTCAGATGATTTGGTTCAGACTAACCAGGGTAAAACTTGAGATAACTGAACCTAAGACAGCCACACAAGATCGGATTTTAAAGATACTCTGCTTTTGTTGGAACCAGAGTTTTCTGGGGGCCCTTCCCTGTATCCCATGGGTCTTTGAAAAGAAATGCCTGGGTGTTTGCAAATCTGTTGTAGCTAAAACTCACAAACCAGAGGTATGAGTTATCCACTAGTCTATTCTTAAGTGAAAGAATGGCTGATTTTCTGCAGTTCTGTCTGATATTGGTTTATCAGAGTGACAAGTATTGTGGACCACAGACACTTTCAAAAAAAATAAACAGTGGCTGTATAAACTCTAACCTGTCCTGGATTTTATCTTTACTGCTCTTCAATTGTCTAAGATCTAAATACAGAAGAGTATTGAAAATTTTTTTGGAAAAATCTTTATTTTGTATTTGTGAAAGAAAAGCATAATGAGTTCCTGGGCTTCCTAAAGGCAGTTTTGGATTTAGCCCCTCACATACCAACTCCATGTGGAGAAGGTAATACCCAGCTGACCGTATGAATGGCTATCTGGGTAGATGAAGAATGAGACCATGACAAGCAAAACATGTATTGTTACAGTTCTTTCAGTCTCATGTAACAGAAACCAATTCTGTATAGCTTAAACAAAAAAACAAGCCAGCCAAAAATAAAATTTTGAGGGATGGTGAGGACTGAGGAGGGTTTTTCACAGAATCCAAGAAAGATAGAAACAAAACAAGCAAACAAAAATAGAAAGAAGCCACTGTGTTTTCAAAGACTTCAGCTAGAGAAAATAATGAACCTTGTTTCAAAAGTTCTCAGTTCAACATTCCAAATTTCCAGGAAAAAGGACCTGATTGGCCCAGCTTGGGTGAGCCCAGCCCAGGGTCAATAATATTTGGCCAGCAGCATGAAGTTTCATGAATCATTCATGATTAAAATGACACTATTTTGTATTCTGGAAAAATTGAAAGAAGTTTGAATTAGGGTGGACTTACCATGAGGTGGAACATCAACCACTTTGTAAAATGTCTACTCCAGGGGAGAAGAGAAAAGTGATGTATTGGGAAGCAGTGCTTTGCGCTGCAAGATAACAGAAACCCTTAAACAATTATGGATTGGGGGTTTTCTCACACAGTAAAAATTTAGTCAACAATTCGATGCCTAAATCACCAAAATTCTATAAGGTTTTTTTTTTTTTTTTTTTTTTTTTTCCCTGATAGTCACAAGCTGGTTGCTACATCTCTAGCCATCTTATCTGTAATTCAGGTAGAAAAAAAGGAGAAAAGGTAAGGGATGGTGCCTGGAACAAGAAAGTATAAACTGGATATCCACATGCAAAATAATGAAGTTGGCCCCTTACTTCATGCTATACGCAAAAAAACGATTCCCGAATAGAACAAAGGTCAAAATGTAAGAGCTAAAACTACAAAAATCTCAGAAGAAAACATAAATATAAATCTTTGTGACTGTGGATAAGGCAATTGTTTCTTAGATATGACATCTAAAACATAAGCAACAAAGGAAAAAAATAAATTATATTTCATTAAAATTAATAACTTTTGTGCTTCAAATGATATATACTATCAAGAAAGTGAAAACTCAACCCAAAGAATGGGAGAAAACATTTGCAAATCATATATTTGATAAGGGTCTAATGTACAGAATACATAAAGAAGTATTACAACTCAATTGGCAAAGGATCTGAATAGTCGTTTCTCCAGGCAGGCATAAAAATGGCCAATAAGCACATGAAATAAAGCCCAACATTCCATTCCTGATGGGAAATCAAAACCACAACAAAATGCTACTTTATACCCACTAGGATGTCTGTGGATATAAAGACACACAATAACAAGTGTTGGCAAAGAATGTGGAGAAATTAGAACCCTCATGCATTGCTGTTGGGTCTGCAAAATGGTGCTATTGCTTTGGGAAGCAGTTTGGCAGTTCCTCAAAAATTGAACCTAGTGTTGGCATTTGACCCAGCAATCTTACCCCAGGTATATACCCAAGAAAACAGCAAACAAATGTTCACACAAAAACTTGCACATGGATGTTCATAGCAGCGTTATTCATCATGGCAAACAACCCAAATGTACATCAACTGATGAATGAATAAACAAAATGTAGTACCCACAAAATGTCATATTATTCAGCCATTTTAAAAGTATGAAGTACTGACACATGCTGCAACGTGGATGACCCAGACAACACTGTGCTAAATGAAATAACCCAGACCCATAAAGTCAATGTTACATGGTTCCACTTATATAAAATATCCAGGATCAGCACATCCACACAGACGGAAAGTAGACTAGTAGTTGTCACGGTCTCAGTGGAAGAAGGAGTAGCGAGTGACTACTACTGGATAGGATGGCTTCTTTTATGTGATGAAAATGTTCTAAAATTAAATGGGGTTGATGGTTGCACAACTCTGAAAATAATAGCTACTGAAATGTATATTTTGAATAGGTGAGTTATATGACATGTAAATTACATTTCAACAAAGCTGTTTAGAGGAAGGGTGGGGAGGAGAGAAGGAAGGGGAAAAGGGAGGGAAGAAGGAAAAAGAGACAGAGAGAGAGAGAGTATAAGCTTCTCTGAGAACCTCAAAGCAGGATTTTTGCTGGATCTCTTTTGCCTGATTTGTTTTACCTGTAAATAGAAGTAGGTTCGTGAGGTTAGGACTTGCCACTATGTCTCCTGCAAATTCTTGGGGTTATGACTTGCCATTGTCTCCTGTAAATATTGCTCAAAACACCTCAGTATTACCTGTCACTGAAGAAATACAAAGACCTAGGCTTAGAAGTGAATTAAACTAGGTTTTATTTGCAGCTCTGCCACTTTGAAGAAACTCATATCCTCTCATTAGGCCTCTGAAAGATGTTGCCAGGGCTCTGCTCATTTCTTCTCTCATCCCATTTTTGTGCAGACTGGCTTATTTTCTTCTTTCTCAAAGGCCTCACTCCATCTTTTTGTCAGAGGCTGCCTTCAGGCTGACAGAGCGCCTAAAGGGCTGAGAATGTGTGCAACTCTTAGTGTCTGCCCTGTTGTGTACAGAGGACATAAATACCCCAATCACCTTGCCTTGCCAAGAGGACACCTCCAAGGTTAGACCCACTGTGATTATGAGGCTTTTGTGGTTTTGAGCCAAAGCTGAATACCCTTGTGTGGCCTTCTTCCCTTCCCAGTCCCGAATTCTTCGCTCCTACTAGGAACACATCCTAATAAATCCCCTCCACAGGAATCCTCATCTCAGAGTCTGCTTCTAGAGAATCTAACCTGAAAGAGCCTTCTTTACTTATCTGCAAAATAATAGTTAAGAGGGGTAACGGGAAAAAAGATGTATGAAGGCAACAGAGCAGGCTCTAGAACATGTCTTGTCAGAACATTCTTTTCTTTCAGTAAGTTTCTATAGGCCATGAACAGAAGGACCAACAGGGAACTAACAATATGGTACAATGAGTGACTGAATAAATGGGCCAGGCAGGAAAACAGGAAGCCTTAGATGCAATACAGTATAGTAATTAAGAGTGTGAACTCAGGGAAGCTGGCTTAAATTTGGATCTCAAGTACTCCAGCTACTTGGGCATGTGATTTATTTCTCTAAGTTTCCATTTTTCCCTCTGTAAATGGAAATAATAACAATACCTGTCTCATAAAGCTGTTGAGAGGTTGAAATGAGATCATGGATGTACAGCATCTGGTATAAGAAAAAGTTCGCTGTTACTCTGGTGGTGACGGCAGTGGTTATTTTTATTGTAGATGTGTGTAGCATTAGTAGTAGAAGTAATCTGAGGACACCAAATACAAACTTTACCAACTTCACAATTTCACCACGATTGAAGTTAGATCTAATTTGACAGCTGGGCTGAATTCCAAACACCTTACAGCAGATTCAGGTTTAAATTTCATTCCAAAGAATGAAACCCAGTGCCTCATGTTGAGTGTTGGAAGTGTTCTGCCTGATGGCAGAAGGCACTAGGCTTCTGTTTCAGGCAGGTGACACAGGCAGGGATTTTAATCAGCCCTCAAGGGGGTCTCACACCACCCAGGCTTCTGGTACTGAGAGAAGAACGATAGCTATCAAACTGACACTTTGTTGACCAGGAAAGCCTCATAAAATAACATGGAATATATATATATATCCCCATGAGATACATAGATATATCTACAGATATATAGATTTATATAAACACACACACATATACTTGCTTTAATTTTAAAAGGATGAAAAAATGCATGGCAATTGGACTTGCCCAGGCATAAATTATACAGTATGGCATGTCAGTCAGCAAGCACAACAATGAGACATAAGAAGTTTGAGGAACAGGTAAACAGCTGTCAAGGGCTGCCTGGCACACAGCTCAGATATGGCACACTAAAGGGGCACACAGTGCTATGGGTTGTACAAGGCATCCCAGGAATGTTATATGCCTCACCCTAAGCTAAGCAAACTCCCCTAGGAAACCAGAGACAAGCTGTGGTTGTACATACCTGTGTAAGAGAAGGACTCCATATGTTCTGACTCAGGTTCAGTTCAACCAGTGTTTCTGCTTCCCTCCTGCCCCTCCACAGTCTACTCTCTACCAAGAGCTAGAGCGATCCTCTTACCACCTGCACTAGCTAATGTCATGTGTCTACTCAAAACCCTACAATAGATTTCCATCACACAGGGAACAAAGACCATAACATAACCTCAACATAACCTGGTCTCTGCAACCCTCTGTTGCCTCATTTCCTGCCCCTCTCGCGCTTACTCACTTTATTCTAGCCCACCACCCTCCCTTCTCTTCTTCAAGTTTATCACGCACATGCCCACTCCAGGACATTTGACTCTGTCGTTCCCTCTTCCAGGGATGCTCCCTCCTCCCACTCACCCCTGTATTTCTGTGGCTCATTTCTGCTCAAGTGTCACCTCCTTAAGGTAGACTACTACCCAACGTATGGGGTAATTACTTGCGTATGCATTAATAACCTTCCTCATCCTGTAAGTTCCATGAAGACAGACTTTGTCCGTTTTGTTCCCAGTTGTATCCACAGTGCCTAGAACTGTGCCTGGTATATATTAGACACTCAGTATTTGTTTAATGAATAAATAGTTGAATGAATGAATTCCTTGAGTACATGAAACATACCCGGTAACTGGGGTCAACAATAGAATTCAATGAGAAAGAAAATTTGGGCCTTCACTTCAAGGACCTTAGACTTCAGATCTACACTGTCTGAAACAGTAGCTATTAGCCACAGGCAGCTGTGGAGCACCTGAAAAGGTAACTCTACAAATTGGATGTTCAGTAAGTGTACAATACATGCTGAATTCTTAAGACTTAGTATGAGAAATGTAGAAGTCTCAATTTTTATATTGACTAGATTTGAAATGGTATTTTTAATATACTTGGTTAAATAAAATAATTACAATTAGTTCCACCTGCTTATTTTAAATTGCTTTAATGTGGCTACTAGAAAATTAAGAAGTATGTATTTAGTTTGCATTTTGGACATGCATTGTGTTTCTATTAGGCAGAGCTCATCCAGAGGGAGAAGCAGACATTAGTGGATTCTTTCTAGATAGTATGGTTTAAGAAAGAAAATTTTAAATAATAATCCACACAGTGATATAGGGAGGTGAATTGAGGGATAGTTTATACAATCTAGAGATTCAAACCCTGCTGGAGGAACTGATAAGTATTAAGTGTATTTTAAAGCAATGCTTATCAAAGTTTCATGGACCTGCGAATGACCTGGACATATTGTTAACATGCAGATTCTGATTTATTGGTCTGGGTTGGGGCTGGAGAGTATATAGGTCCTACAACATCCCAGCTGATGCCAATGTAGAGGCCTCCTAAACTACACTTCAAGTAGAAAGGATTCAAAGGTCTGTTTGGAGTTAAACAAGTAGAGGACAAGAAGGCATCGGACCATTAGAAGCTTTACTCAAGGCTGGTCCAATACCTCCCTGCCAAGTGGCAGAAGATCTGGCTCCTTAGCTGCTAACGCTGCATTTTATTATTATTTTTTCATACACTTTAAGTTCTGGGGTACATGTGCAGAACATGTGCCATGGTGGTTTGCTGCACCCATCAACCCGTCATCTACATTAGGTATTTCTCCTAATGCTATCCCTCCCCTAGCTCCCCACCCACCGACAGGCCCTGGTGTGTGATGTTCCCCTCCCTGTGTCCATGTGTTCTCATTGTTCACCTCCCACTTGTGATTGAGAACATGCAATGTTTGGTTTCCTGTTCTTGTGTTAGTTTGCTGAGAATGATTGTTTCCAGTTTCATCCATGTCCCTACAAAGGACATGAACTCATACTTTTTATGGCTCCATAGTATTCCATGGTGTATATGTGCCACATTTTCTTTATCCGGTCTATCATTGATGGGCATTTGGGTTGGTTCCAAGTTGTTGGTATTGTGAATAGTGTTGCAATAAACATAGTGTGTATGTGTCTTTATAGTAGAATGATTTATAATCCTTTGGGTACATACCCAGTAATGGGATTGCTGAGCCAAATGGTATTTCTGGTTCTAGATCCTTGAGGAATCACCACACTGTCTTCCACAATGGTTGAACAAATTTACACTCCCAACATTGTAATAGCGTCCCTATTTCCCCACATTCTCTCAAGCATCTGTTGTTTCCTGACTTTTTAATTCATTTTAAAGATTGCCCACTGGACGGGCACAGTGGCTCACGCCTGTAATCCTAGCTTTTTGGGAGGCCAAGGGGGGTGGATTGCCTGAGCTCAGGAGTTCCAGACCAGCCTCGGCAACATGATGAAACACCATCTGTATTGAAATACAGGCTGAGCACTGTGATTCACGCCTGTAATCTCAGCACTTTCGGAGGCCGAGATGGGTGGATCACGAGGTCAGGAAATCGTGACCATCTTGGCTAACACAGTGAAACCCCGTCTCTTCTAAAAAATAGAAAATAATTAGCCAGGCGTGGTGGCAGGCGCCTGTACTCCCAGCTACTCAGGAGGTTGAGGTAGGAGAATAGCGTGAACCCGGGAAGTGGAGCTTGCAGTGAGCCAAGATCGGACCACTGCACTCTAGCCTGGGCAACAGAGCGAGACTCCATCTCAAAAACAAACAAATAAATAAACAAACAAACAAACTAAAATACAAAGGCTGGGCCGGTGGCTCACGCCTGTAATCCCAGCACTTTGGGAGGCTAAAGCGGGTGGATCATGAGGTCAGGAGATCGAGACCATCCTGGCTAACACGGTGAAACCCCATCTCTACTAAAAATACAAAAAAGTAGCCTGATATGGTGGCAGGCGCCTGTAGTCCCAGTTACTCAGGAGGCTGAGGCAGGAGAATGGGGTGAACCCGGGAGGCAGAGCTAGGAGTGAGCCAAGATCGTGCCACAGCACTCCAGTCTAGGCGACAGAGCGAGACTTCATCTCAAAAAACAAAACAAAACAAAAAAATTAGCCGGGTGTGGTGGCGTGCACCTGTAGTCCCAGCTACTTAGGAGGATAAGGCAGGAGAATCACTTGAACCTGGGAGGCAGAGGTTGCAGTAAGCCCATATCGCACCACTGAACTCATCGGGGTGACAGAGCAAGACTCCGTCTCTTGAAAAAAAAATAAAAAATAAAATAAAAAAATAAAAAGATTGCCTACTGCCTGAGGTTGCTGCCCCTGCCTAGATTTGGGAATTCATATGATGTATTATTGACTAAGACAGTCCCAAGCAGCTATGCGGGGTGAGAATCACTCAAGCTGAGCCTGAGACTTGGGCTGCTAGAACTTCAGTCCCAGCATCGGGGCCTCTACTCAGTGCCTTCTGTTGCCTTTCCTTCGGACACACACTGGACTCTGGAGTGAAGGGGAACAAATGTGGAATTTAGGGTCTAGTCAGCCAGTGGCTCAACCCAGGTGGTGTTCTTGCCACCAGCCTTCTGCTTCCTCTTATCAGTAAAGGGGTCTTGAAGCTTGGAGTGAAGGGACACCCAGGCGGTTTAGGGGATTTAAGCAGGCTTGTCTCCATGTGGAGTGTTCAGGGTCTCTGAACACTCTGGCAGGTACTCATGTTTGCGTTATCACATATAACATATTTGGAACTCTGTACATCACAACAAGGCAAAGAAACACACTTGAGAGAAAGGATATGGAATGGAGATTAATGTGAGTGTGGGAGTGTGGGAGCCAGGACTGGCTGCTGGGGCTGCAGCAAACACACAAAGTGAAAACAGAGATTAATGTGGGGAAAGTGAACAAAAGGTAATTACAAGGCACAGAGGTCATGTTAAGGAACATGGACTTTATTCTGAGGGCAAAGGGGAGTTCCTGTAAAGTTATGGGTTACAAGGTAATGAGGAAAGAATTGATTTGAGAGGGACCACCCTGGCTGCAGTGTGAAGGAAGGATTTATGGGCAGCGGTACTGGCCATAGGATGAGTGAGCATGCTCTTATATCATTCAGGCAATGGTGGCAAAGGCCTGAACAAGGAGGACTTCAAGAAACTTTAAAGAGAATAAATTAACCTCTTAGGGATTGAAAGCAGGGAATTTTGAAGACAGAGGAATACAGGCTTTTTCTCTGATTTTTGGCTCAGGTGAAAAGATGGTGCTATGAAAAGAGACTGAATACACACACACACACACACACACACACACACCACCACCACCACAGTTAGTATTCTTGGGTTTGGAGAGTAACACAAGTGGTTCGCTTTGTGGTGTGA